CGTGCTTGCGAGTCGTGTGTCATGTTCGGTGTGTTTGCTTTCTCGTTTGAACCTCGTTTGCTTTGGTTTGGTTTGCACCCTTGAGACTTATCCTTCATATGGTGTAAGACATATGCACTCCATCCTATCTTAGTGAGCTTATGACATATTGTGCTACTTATGTTATGATCTTGTTTAATGTTAGCCTTACTATTGCAAGATATGCCTTGTCTCTAAAATATAGGGGGAGTGTTGATCCTAGTTGATGTGCTGTGCAGTCCAAAGCATCCATCTAGATTGCACACATCTAGGGGGAGCCCGTCTATATTTTAGAGAGGAGGGGTTTGCGTTTGCTCAATATTATTTCCCTTTGTGCAAATCCCGTATTGTCATCAATCCACCAAAAAGGGGGAGATTGTAAGGGCATATTTATCCCTAAAGTGTTTTGGTGATTGATGACAATGCTTTGGCAGACTAATCGTGTGCCTTGAGTTTCTCAGACGTTTCATCGCTAGGCACAAGATGGTTTGGTGCCCCTCGAAGACTAATGAAGATGGCGTTTTTCTACGTTTCTTTTTGGTGGATTTGAGTCGTAGGAAAGCCGTACTATTAAGAGGGGGTCCGCGTCGGAAAGGTTCGGGTGAAATCATCACGTACACGTTTTCTTCCTTGTCTCCACCTTTTCCCTGCACTTTGGAGCATCCTCCGTTTATCCTCTATGCAATTGTCCTAGCTGCTGATATTGGACGTGCGATAGTACTGCTCCCTGGAGCGGTAGTACCGCAGGCACCTGCGGTAATACCGTACTTCGGCGCGGTAGTACCGCAGGAGCCCACGGTAGTACCGCTCCTCTGGAGCCGTAGTACCGTGGCCCCCAGGCCAAGTGCCACTGCATCGCGGTAGTAGAGGCGGATGTAATTTTTTACATCCGCGCCTCCGCGGTAGTACCGCACCTCGTGCGCAGTAGTACCGCACCTCGTGCACGGTAGTATCGCGCGCGGCCTGGCTCAGCTGCCATGCGGTAGTACCGCTCCTCGTGCGCGGTAGTACCGCGCGCGGCCTGGCTCAGCTGCCATGCGGTAGTACCGCTCCTCCAGCCGTAGTACCGTGATGGATTTTTGCATCGTTTGTTTTTCAACGGAAGTAGGCACGGATGTATTTTTATTTATCCGCACCCTTCCCAGGCTAGGACTTTCCTGCCTTGCGGTAGTACCGCAAGGGGGAGCGTTAGTACCGCGCTTGCGGAAGTACCGTTCTCAGCCTCCATGCTTCGGGCTTGTTCTAGTTTCTGCCGTTGCCGCTTGTCAGGTAGTACCGCTTGTCAGGGGCGGTAGTACCGCAAGTCGCGGGCTGGTTAGGTGGATAACGGTTGGATTTTGTCCACAACTATAAAAGGGGTGTCTTCTTCCTCTAGTTGACTACCTCTTCCACCTCTAAGCTCCATTGTTGCTCTAAGCTCCATTTTCGCCCGATCTCACTCCCTAGCCAATCAAACTTGTTGATTTGCTCGAGAGTGGTTGAGAAGGCCCCGATCTACACTTCCACCAAGAGAAATTTGATTCCCCCCACTAATCCCTTGCGGACCTTGTTACTCTTGGGTGTTTGAACACCCTAGACGGTTGAGGTCACCGCGGAGCCATAGTCCATTGTGGTGAAGCTTCGTGGTGTCATTGGGAGCCTCCAATTAAGTTGTGGAGATTGCCCCAACCTTATTTGTAAAGGTTCGGTCGCCGCCTTCAAGGGCACCAATAGTAGAATCACGGCATCTCGCATAGTGTGAGGGCGTGAGGAGAATGCGGTGGCCCTAGTGGCTTCTTGGGGAGCATTGTGCCTCCACACCGCTCCAACGGAGACATACTTCCCCTTAAAGGGAAGGAATTTCGGTAACACATCCTCGTCTTCACCGGGTCCACTCTTGGTTATCTCGCGTCTTTACTTGTGCAAGCTTATTTGTGTTATATCTCTTGCTTGCGTGCGTGCTTATTGTTGTTGCATCATATAGGTTGCTCACCTAGTTGCATATCTAGACAACCTACTTTGATGCAAAGTTTAAATTGGTAAAAAAAAAGCTAAAAATTGTTAGTTGCCTATTCACCCTCCCCCCCTCCCCCTTCTAGTCAACTATATCGATCCTTTCAGCGAGGAGCAGTCTAGTACCGTTTTTTTTCTTTTTTATAAAATATTTTAAATATGAACGAACTCACCGAAGTTTGGTTGAATTTGCGCCGTGTTTGTGTCGGAATTTAGATTTTCAAAAAAACATGAGCGCCGTGACTAGGGGACATCACGCCCCCAGCACGCGGTTTAGCGCCAGTGCACCCCCAGAGGGTGATTTTTAGGGCCTCCTGGAGGGCCAACGGCTGGAGATGCTTTAAGAACCTGACCATGTCTAGGCCTCCCAGGCAGGCCCCAGAGCCTCACGGACAAAGTTCCACATGAATCTCGCCACGCACGAAAAAAGAGATATGTGTTGCAGTCTCCGGAACACCACATAGAGGACCTAATCCGTCGCCAGGACCGTGCCGCGTGATCACCTCCATCCCAGTTGGGAGGTCGCTGCGTTGCCGTCGGCCACAGCCGCGTGCTCCTCATTGTCTGGGACCCCGTCACGGACAAGAGGTGGCCGGTGCCGCCGCCCCCGGCGGGGCCATGGTGGTCCATCAACTATAACGCCATGGTGCTCTGCGCCGCCCCCAGTTGTGACCATCTCGCCTGCCACGGTGGGCCCTTCGTCGTGGCCTTGGTGGAGGTGGAGTTAGGCCGTCTCCAGACGACATCGATTCTGTCATCCTTTGCGGTGGGTCGAGTATCGGTGCTCACTCCCTACAAGAGTTTTGATTGGACTACTCCACCCTGACTGTTGCTGCCGCAGGTTCTGCAATCTACCAACACATGCATGTAAAATCTCTTGTTATGATGACATTCCCCATCCCTTGAAAAAAAGAATGTGGACTCCCATTAATCTTGGATTATTTCAGTATATCCGGCGATGTGCGTTCAGTGGGGGAGATGTTTCCGTCGACTACGAGACGCCGGCTCAGTCTCTCGACGGTGCTCATAACGGTAGGGTGTGCGTGTATATGTTCATAGAGGTGGTGTATGCGCGTATATATATGAGTGTTCGCGTCTATACTGCGTTTAAAAATAAAATAATGACTTGATGGTCAGGCAACATGAACAACTTGTGCATGACATCAGCGTAACGTGTACGGAATTTAGCGTGACTAAGGCTGGTCATAGTGGGGAGTAACCATGACACTAGTCTAAGTTACTATCTTCATAATGCAAAATAACATAATAGTAGTATCATAGATGGTTTCATTTATTAGCTCGTAGACTCATCTTGTCTTGGAAAACGCTATGTTACAGTAACATATTATGTTACCACATCTCATTAATTACTTGCCACATAAGCATAATTTTCTTGAAGTGCGCTATGTTACTTCCACTATGACTAGCCTTAGACCTCCTCCAATTCAAAGGTGCTTAAATAAGATGCTAAGTGCATTAAATACCTTAGCAACTCAACTCCACAATGCATAGGTGCTTAACTTGTTGTTGCTAAGCACACTTTATTTAATGAGTTAGCACCTAAAGTCTTTCATTCATTGGTCAAATTGTTTCATTTAAGTGGTTTGCCTAGGTTCACGCGCTTGGCATTGATTCTTCCTGGATCACCAAAGTGTTCTCTCTCTTCCCTAATTGTCTTTCTCTTCCCTAATTGTTGTGCGCTTATGTGGTATGCTTAGCATCTGTCCACCATGGAGCACTGAAAAGGCCTTAACATGCGAGCGAGCGAATTTAGTTGTGCATGACTGACGTGCACGGGAGTAGCTCTACTCCATTAATTGTTTTCTCTCCTGTCTATTTTTTTACAGGGGTCGTGGACGGCAACTGCCCCCTCCATCCACCATCCATCAAAAAGCAACCAAAACAAAAAAGCTCTCTCGTTCGGGCCTTCATTCGTCGCAGCCAGACGGGCGAACGGCTTAAACTGAAATCTCGTCTCCGGCGATCCTCGCGCCTACGTCTAGAAACTTGGCCGGCCTCAGTCCACCTCATCTCTCCGGCCGCCATCGTCTTCCTCGTTCCTTAATTATCTGCAGCAGCACGCGAACGTCATCTTCAGGGTTGTGGCCAGCAAGTGTGGCTTCTTGGCGAAGAACAGTGTACGTGCTATATTCTCCGTGTCCCGAGCTGAAGTAATGAGCTAGAAAAACCCACGCTGCTAAGCCTTGATGACCAGAAGTTGTGTGCTGTACGTCCGCAAGCCCCTGAGTGTATTTCTGCGAGGATCTACCGGCCTTCCTCACGTGAAATGCAGCGCTAGAGGATGCCGGAGATGCTACGTACGCTTGTAGAGCTCGCCGCGGATGGGGTGTACACATAAGAGCGGCACACAATCCCTTTTCTACCAAATATAAAATAAATCGAGGATAATTGGTTTGATATCAAAACTTGACATGCCAATGTTTGGTATTGTGGTATTACTTGGTTGATTACTGAATTGTCTTGCCATCTCACACAAAATTGCCAATAGTTGGCAAGTATTGGTATTATCAATATTTGACAGTGCCAACATTTGGCTAGCCAAATATTGGCAGCAAACCAATCATGCACGGTCCCTTGACTAAAAAATCAGGTAGCTTCTTGTTTCTGTTTTTTTTAGGGTAAGCTTCTTGTTTCTGTTGGTACAGTGGATGCCAAGGTTCAAGTCACAATACATATCTTCAACCCCAAAAAATGGACTCATTGTAACCAAGTTCATGGTACGTATGCGACTCTTCTGATCAATAATCTAGAAAACATGCTTGATGGTATTGCCAGAAGCAAGTTACATAAACCAAATTACTGAAATAAAAAGATATCATGTCACATCTGATCACACAACCTAAAAGTATGAAAAATATTCATCACACAATACATGAAGTCACAAAGTTTATTTATTTATTCGGGGATTAAATCTGTGGTAGTGTCCCTAATTTAACTTCACTAGTTACATGTACATAACCATGGGTTCATTATTTGGTCGCACTAGGCATAGAGCAAAATGGCTTGAATGTCAGCAAGAGCCCAATTACTGACACCATGTTTAGCATCAAGAACATGATCAGATCACCTGCATATCAAATAATAAATCAAATAAGTATATGCTCTGACAATATGCACCTCTTTCCATTCAAGTTAAAAACTATCAATATAAATCTAATTAGCAGGGTTGGATGAGCAATGTGTTTACCTGGTAAGAACAACCCAGTTATGTTTTCCTGAGACCATGAAAACCTGCAAAATGGAAAGAAATAAGCAAACTGGCTAGTAAGCACAATTTCAGCCAAAAAAATAAAAAACAACAATTCCTGCCCACACACACACAAGAAAAACACTGCACTTACAAAATTCCTGCTGCTGCTGGAGCTACTGCTTTAAAGATTGACATTAGGGTCACTGAAATACCATTTGCAACACCCCTTTGTTCTTGTGGCTGTACATGTTTTCATCAGAGAAGTTAGAACGTAGCAAAGGTGTCTACCATAACGAAATACAACGAGATGGATGATACATACCACCGATGTGTTCTGCAGAATGTTGCAGGCAATAGTAATCGTGGCCTGTTCCATTTCAGATGATACATTAATTATTATTTTTGCAGGTAGATGATACATTAATATATGGTCATAATTAAATTGTATATTAAAATCATTGTCTATGGAGCTTGCTTTCTCCAAATATATTGAAAAATTAATTTTATTTCATTTGTGTGAGTGGTGCTCAAATGTGGTTTATCTAGACCGTCCAAAAATACTCATAAACATGTTTGTATTTTCTAAAGGAATATGTTATTACTCTTCCGGCCTGATATTTTCTTGATGCTCAACATGTTTCTATAGGATGGTTACTAATGTAAGCAGGGATGTTGAATTTTATTTGCACGAGATGGGCTCTATGGTTCTTTGATCCCACCCATGTAACACCCCTAATTTGCATTATTTCACTTTAAACAAATCATAAATAATAATAGCAAGCTAGCAATTTGTTTCAATCATAAAAATTGACTTACTGCAAACATATTCTTCAAAAGCGAAGCTATGTTGATGAGTACTTGGAGCTCCATGCCGTATAGGTTGGACATTAAAGGATATGTTGCAAGGAGAAGTACAGATAATACCTGAAAAAGTGTACATTTAGTACTGGACAATAGATTCGCCGTATTAAAGAGCATGTCGACATCAAATGGTCTTCTCACATACCGCCGCAGAGCGTAATGGCTTGATTAACCCAACATACTTGGCAAGTAATGGGTAAATCACAAGTTGATACACCAAAACACCAAACCCTACAATATCAAACAAAACAACACCAATGCTACATGTAATACATAGAGGAGCAATGTTGTGCATATGTCGTATTCATTCATTTTGGGCTTAATATGTCTCTCTTGCTGCTTGTGCAATGATCATATTATACGAGTTGAAGAAAAACATCACATACCTGAGATAGCTAGAATAGTACCAATGTCCTGAGATCTTAAACTCAGCCCCCGGTACTTTCGGCTGCTCACAGCCCACAGTGAAAATATCTGAAGATGAAATTTATAGAACACATGGAAAGTTGCTTTAGTTCCTTAAAAAAAAGTTGATTTGGTTCCTGGTATGATTCTTCTCTAGGATAGGTAAAAGCATATTTTTCGTACTAAAATGTTGTTGGGTATGTTTGAGATACCTAAATATAGATTTACCTCGAAATAAGCTGTATCATGGAGAGAAAATACACAATAGAGGATTATTGCTGACATCAACCGCCGGTTCTTTAGTAGGCTCTTTGTAGATGCCATTCTTTCCGACCCGTATTCTTTAGTTTTCCCATCTTCTAAGATCGAGTCATCAACTTGTACCTCCATTGTGTCAATAGCTTCTATTTTGTCGTCACAGTACATGTGCAGAGTTTCCTAAAAGTTCACTCATTAAAGTAGGAATTAATGGTATAGAATAGAATCATAGGGAGATTTTTGGAGCAATACCGGAAGCCAAATACATGTAATACATGCTCCTGCAGCTAGTACCGATATGACCAAGCAAGGGAGGAGGTATGGAAACCTATAAGATGTTTGAAAGTTTATCTTATCTTCCCAATGCTGCAAAATTTATATCACTGAAACATTATAAGTAATAATTTACCTCCCAAATATGGATTCCTCGGAGAAAAGATCCGGGTACTTTTTTGCAGGCTAACGCACAACAGAGAATACACAATGTTAGCCAGGGTGGGTCATATAAGATCACTAATTAGTCTCCAAAGAGACATGTTATGTTCATCATTCGAACAAATATTCTATTTATCACTTTTACGGTTAAATACAGATTTTGTGGAAATTCCTTCGGAATAAAGCATTTTTTGAACTGCCATCACAGAAAAGTTCTTGCCTATTAGCCCAGTCTTTCGCATTTGCGCCAATTAGTAGAGGATCTATGTATTACTCTCAAGGTCTACACCATTTTTACATGTACCTATAGCGGCTCATTGAATTATTACAGTGATGGCTTTACTGGAAGACCACATGTAGCATATTTTCTATGGAGGGCTCCTGGAAATAATTGACCCTTAGTTTGATAAACCAGTTAAATACAATGTTAATTCAAGGATAGAATTCCATAACTCTACATCATAGTGGACTGATCCTCGCTTGTGCAAGAAATCCTCCAATGGCTGGTCCAATAATAAGAGCTATTGCCCGCGAAGATGTGACCTACGATATAATGTTTGATATAAATATCAGCTAGTAATTACCGAGTCAGAAAAACAAAACATAAAGATGAACTATTCTTACAAGAGAAATTCCTAGCGCTTGGTGTTCCTTTGTACAGACTTCTGAAGCATAGGCCTGGAGAGTGCAGATACAACAATGTGTGTTCAACATTTAAGTACTTCTTAATTAATCTTAGCCACTCAAACGATATTTTTTACCTTGATTGGTCCTAATATACCACATAGTAACCCAAGTAGCCCCCTAGTAAGAATTGCCATCCAGTAAGTCGTGCTAAGGCCAAAGAGGGTGTTAAGTACAATCCTGAAAAAGAAGATGTATAATAGGGTTTACTTTGATTTAATTGAACGGAGTAAAATAAAAGTATGTTTTTCATATGATTTAACTGAATATGTCATACACTGAGAGGATACTGATCACAATGCAGGGTTTCCTCCCATATTTGTCGGCAAACATGCCCCATGGCACAGCACTGATTGTTCTTCCAAGGAAATAAGTAGGCCCCTTAAGAGACATAGTGTATGGTGAGTAGCTACTAACAGAAAATACCCGCCTCGCGTCATAACGCCGTAACTTCATGTACTTGTAGACTTCTCTTCCCATAAATTTTCCAATGTCACA